GGTACCATCCAATCAAGCAGGGGTTCTCCCGGTCTCTGACTGAACCATGCAAGAATATCACTGATTTCTTGCTATGTGAAATCTTCCATTGTAAGTCTATTTACAGTCTTACACCTATGAAGGAGCAGATTAGAAGAGTACAGATTAACTGACAGCAATGCTAATGTTAAAAGACAACTGTGTTACCAATCAAATGAGCACACGGTTTGGTAAAGCAGATATAAAAGAACGGTTTGGAAAATAAAGATTTTTAGAAATTTTGCCTGCTACATTCGTTTGTTGTGTCCGTCTCTACCACAACAAGAGGGTAGATTTAGATGAAATGTAAGGAATTGTTCACAGTGAGGGTGGTGCAACACTGGAACAGGTTGGCCAGAGAGCTTGTGGCTGTCCCCTCCCCTGTTCAAGGCCGGGCTGGGTGGGGCTTTGAGCAACCTGGTCTAGTGGAAGGTGTCCCTGCCCATGGTAGGGGGTTGGAGCTAGATGATCTTTAAGGTCCCTTCCAGCCCAAACCCTTCTAAGATCCTAAGATCCTCACAGTATAAATTCTATAAGGGGTTTTATGAGTTCAGTCACTGTTCTATATATACAAGTGTGATACAGATCTTCATAATAAAATAATAAAATATTATGGCTAGCATTTTCAGTCAAACTCATCTGAGAAAATAGGGTGAACGCATGATTGTACCTGCTGGTGGAAGGGCATGGTATGAGACAACAGAGGACTTTCAAAATACCCCATCAGCATTTGGAATAAAGGCAGTTAGCCATTGATACCAACAGTATATACCGAATTACAAAAAAAAAAAAAAAAAAAACCATACCCACCTCCTCTTCAGGAAAAAACTGTCCCAAGTTATTACTGATACATTTGCACTAAAGACTGAGGGATTGCACTACTGCAAAAACAAAAATCTACCTTTTTTAGATCAAAATACCTATTACCACAGCTTTTAAAAGTAGTTCACCTTCTCTCTTCTTGACAGATCTCTCACTGGCCATTGGAAGCAATGTAACTGGTATGTACAATAATCATGAACAACTAAATAAATAGTTTTGGGACATATTTCAGAAATTAAAAAATTTTAAGCACTTGTCTAAACCAATTACTTTGTACCATTTGGGTTTTGCCAATGTTTGGGGGTATTTGTTTATTTCCACAGCCATCCCTTGTTCAGTACATGTCTCTTCCCTTCTTCAATGAGCCTAAATGTCTTACCATGAAAGCATCCATTACCCTAAGTATGCCAGCCTGTGTACATTTCTCTTACTTTTCACTGCAAGTTATTTTATGAAGTTACTTTTACTTTAGCTTGGATCTCTGTATTTCCACATAGTGACAAAAAGCACATGGCAATCCCTAATGTGCTATTTTTGAACACCTAATGATAACTTCCATTGCTACTCTAACTTTCAAGAAGGCATATTCTTTTACCAGTGTGACATGCAGTTAACACTAAACCTCATTACTTTTAGATAGTATTTGGATTTTCACTCTAAGCATTACCTCAGTAGTCCCATGTGTCAGTGTTATTGTTCTGATAATTAAGGTAGCCCCATAAAACATTACACAAAAGCAGGGAAGGGCTTGAATCCCTCTTGCTGAAGGGAAGAAGCTGAATCAGCTGACAGTACCCTGGGAATTGGCTGCTGCCAACAACTGTCTTTCATCTGCTGACAATCTCAAATGCACAAGAAGCAGATAAGTATCTAAGACATTCCATTACACTAACTAAGGGAACTATTACTTTTTTTACAGGAGAAAAAAAAAACAAACCAACAACCAAAACCAACTAAAGTCATTACCCATGACTACATCATATAACAGTCCTGGATAGAAAGCAGAATATATGGATCCTGAAAAATACAGATAACCACTAGACAACAAAAGTGCTGCTAATTTGACCATCAGAGAAGGTGAAGAGGGAACTCTGTGAGCACAATGAAGACTGGAGAGATTTGAAATTCCAGACAGGGAAATGGATTTCTGTCCTTTGATCTCATAATTATTTGGAAATGAGATGTGATACTTATTTTTTCCTAAATAAGCATGATTATATCAAATAAATGTTAAGTTCAGTGATGCATTTTTCTCTTGGCAGAAATAACTGAAAGACTCTACTAACTTCTTAGAATGCACAATAGAAAATTATTCTTATAATAATGGAATAAAAATGTCAGATTCCATCCCATTAAACTAACCAGATACAACTATGTCCTGAAATGAATCAAATACATTGTAAATACTTTACCTGTAATGCAATGTAAGAAATATTTTTCCTTAGAGCTAGAGACAATGTTGTGTCCAGTAATACAAGCAAGATGATAATTTCTTTATCAGTAGCTATCTTCTCATCTGTGAAAATTCAGCTGACATGACAGCAAATGCAATGATGACGACTCAGTCACATGTAAGGACTATAAAGAGAAGTTATACAAGAGCAGAGATAGGTTACTTGTATTCACCATCAAAATCAGATGCACGGAAATCAAGCAAGGAAAAACATAAAATCAGAAGGCCCTGAGTTACCATACTGATCCATGTTCATGTGCAAATGTGTCTTCTGTTTCTCCTCTAGGCAGATAGGTTTCACTGTACTGGGGTGGTATTTAAATATCTTAATCACCTCACTAGATGGATGCTAAATTTTCAACAACAGGCACCATTAATATGTGCACTTGTAACTACCTTGCTCTAGAAGTAAAATAATACTTTGTGAAACAATATTTATTATGAAGGTCTCTATTTTTCAGTAGTCATTCAGCAAATAAAAACAGTTTTGTAGCTTGGACACATCTGCTCCAAGCACTATCATATGATTGATTTTCTTATCATTAGATTCGTACAAGCTTTATATTAAGTGGGCTTTGTGTGAGCCAGCCACTAATCTTTGACTTTTGAGATACAGGCTATCCATCCTTACTCACTACATATACTCTCCAGCATTCTGTCCAGCAGCTTAACATCAACATATTAAAAGAAGGTTATCACAGTTGCCAGTTTTGAAGAACAGCTGTGGCTCCATATTAAGCTGCCCAATTTTTAAGGTGGCAACATAAAAGTATAATGGGCAGGTTTTAAAAAGCCTTCCTTGCTTCACCTGACTCTGCAGCCAACAATGTCAAAGTAAGCACCAAGGATAGTTTGATACAAACAAAAATGAGATCAAACAGCTGCTCTCTAACAAGAACACCTCACACATTGGACTTAATGACACACCAAAGCTCCAGGAACAGAAATATTTTAAAGCTTTATACAATTTGACCCAGGCACACCTACAAGAAAGGAAGGCTGTGCAGTGAAAGCCTAAAAATAGGAAATCCAGTTTTTCCCGGTACACAGACAAGTAAGTGCTTTTATGAAAAGATAAAATCTGTTCATGTTCCCATGCATTAGCTCTGCTTCGTAGCTTTGACAGGTGTTCCCCATTTATGTAAAAGCAGCAAATTCTAGCACATGGGCAGAATGTATTATCTTTTTATTGAGCTGTGCCTTTTACAGGCAGAAGCCTGTCTTCAAATAATGAGTCAAAACAGCTCATCAGGTGATGCTCACCGCTCAGCTACTGAAGCAGAGAAAACTCCATCAGTCATGATAGAATCATTTTTGACATTAAAATGAGTTTAACTGGTAATACAAATACAGGGAAGAGTGTGTCAGGAGCCCAAAGGGGATCTGTAAGAGTAAAGATGATCACATCTGAGGTGGCAATCACCACTGCACTTTTCTCTGTGCTACACCTGGGGAACAGCTACCTGGAAGTGTTCCCAATTATTCAAACAGCCCCGACAGTAAAAGTGGTGCCACAGAACTGATGTGGTTTCTGACTTGACATAGTTTCACTGGACTAAGCATTTTACTAGCAAGTGAGACTTTCAGTGCTTGTATATGTGTGTTTATATACAAACACATACAAACGGTTTATTTGTAGGAAAACACAAGTATGCCTCATTAGCAACAAAGACCTAGAACAAAGAACTAACAGCACTTCTCCACTTCAGAAAACCAACACCTTAAGGGCTGCAGAGCCCTCACAGCACAACCTCCCCCACTGTGGTGGCAGTTTAGCTCTATGCTTCCAGGCTGCTGGGTTTACATCACCGTACCGCCGTAGGACAGCAGAAGCACTACCACCCCTTCCCTCACTACAATCAGGCTAAGGTGGTAGCAGCGGCCCTGCTGCCTTGACCAGGACGCCACCGCCACCCCAGTATCTACCCACAGCCTACGGCAACACGGGCCTGAAGCGGTACCGAGAACACGCCCCAGAAACACAGCCAGCCGCGGCAGGCCCTTGGCATACAGCAACACCCCTGGGGCCACCAAGGTGGTGGGGCTTGGGAGGCTACGGGGAGCTCCGGGACACTCGGCCTTGCCGGGCCTACCTCCAGCGGGGCCCTCAGCCCCGGGCACCGCTAATGCCCCGCACTGCCGGCCCAGCTGAGCGAGTGCTCAGCACCACAGCAGCACACACCGTCCCGACAGCCCCCTAGCAAGCGTGAGGTAAGTGCCCGCCCAACAGCCAATAAATAGGCCTTCCAGCCCTGACAGACAGGAGGCCAATGAGGGAGCAGATAAGCACGGAGGCGGGGGATATAAGAACCCAATTGAAAACCTTTCCGGCCCCAAGAGGGTGGGAATAAGATTAAGCTTTAGCCACAGACCGTGTAGTATTGTGCTCGTCCTCCAATCATCGCTCCCCCCAGAGTGATTAACAGATGAGAGCAGGGCCTTAGCACACCCCTTTCCCCAATAGGAAAGTAACACTGCATGACAGGCGTTCAGACCAACCAATTATTACCGACGCCGATCCCCCGACCTCTCCCTTGCAAAATGGCGGCGACAGCTCCTGCTCCGGCTCCTCCTGCGGCCGTCCCGGCGCAGAGCCCGAC